TTACAAAGGCAACTCAGTGTAGTACCATAATCAAGTTAAACTCATCTCCGCAGAATACTTTAAAAAAAAAAAGAATAAAAAAAAAATCACAAGCCATCCTTTCATTGTATGCATAATTAGAAATGTTATGGTTATCAAAAATTATCTTTTAAGAAAATATATTTTAAAAGTATCTTATAAATCCTGTTTTTTCCATTACTGTGCTAGAACTGGTACTTAAAACTCTGTACCTTTGCTGTATGTAACACTGGACCAAAGTCTTCAGGTGACCTATATGATAAGATGTGATGAAATATTTTGTCTGCCACAGAATTCTGCACATCTACTAGATTTTTGTACTTTGTGGAGATAGTTCAAGTGTATATTGAAATCTGTTTGCACTAATTGACAGAGCAAATTACTTTTGGAACCGTATTTCCAAAGGGCCTCTGAATTTATTCCTTCAATTTTACACGCGTGGGCTTCCATACCTTTGTGAATTTAATGTTTGTGCTCATCACTCTGACATTTCCTAGCATTTGAAGAACCATTTCAAAGACTATTTTTGCACATGTGATGTCAGAACAGTTTAGCAGCACAGATTTTAGAAAAGACATTTACATCCAGCACAACTAGCCATCTTGGTGTCTTCATCCCACTTTCAAGTACTGTAATCAAAATTTTAACATGGAAAATTTTCTTGAGAGGTTGAATTCCAGACAAAAAACTGGAAAAAAAAGAGGAAGAAAACAAAAACCTGACTCATTTTCTATGCTTAGTTTCTCTTCTTTAGAGGAGGAAAAGCCTGAAAAGCTTTTGAAAACAAACCTAAATATCACTGAGCTCTTTAATAAAACCTCTCTGATACATAACGTTCTGAAATCACAGTACTCAGAAAAAACACAGACAATTGATTAATAATGAGGACAGAAATACAAATAAATTTACTTCTAATGAAGACTGAAGACACAGTAATCAAAGTGTTAAAAATTCATTTCATGCACATTTCACTTGCCTCTTAGCTGATATTTATCACATAATTCTGTGAGAAAGTGGAGGCCTAAGATGCTCCAGATAAATGTCTCAATTAATTGTACAGAGATAGCCCTCTTTGAGCTGAACCAGAGCTGTGAGCTCTTTATTAAAAGCACTATTCTGTAGCCTGTAACCTTGTTCCTTGACTCCTCTCTAGTTTCCAATTTAAACAAGTCCCCATGCGGCCCACTCTAAAGGGCTTTGTCTCCCTGTCATTGTTATGAGAGCCAAGGCATCCTGGAAGTGTGAAATCAGACCTCATGAGCTGAACGGTTCCCCAGGGAACACAAGACCTCGCAGAAGGTCAAAGTCATGGGCTGGACCATCTGAAAGCGTCTGATCGCTGGTCTGTGACACAGCAAGAAGGGTGGGGGCAGGGGGAAAAGGGAGCCAGGGGGCTAGAATTGAACACATCTTAATTAAGCCCAAAGACTACAAAACAAGCTATTTTTTTAGTCAGGCCATCTTATGGAGCTTGGGTTTTGCTCTGCTAATGAATCTGAGCTGGTAACTATTATTCCTTAACAGCACAGCACTTTTGCTGAAATCAGTCAAATCTGTGGCACAAATCTTTTCCCACTCTGCTTACTTTTTATCAATGAAAAGGCAGAGATTTCGAATTTTATTTCATTTCATTTCAAGGAAAAGGAGCAATGCATCTGCCCCAGTAAAAGAGAAGCAGACACTGCCTTGCAAAGCCAGCAGCCTTCCACAACCACCTACACCTGACTAGGCTGCTGAAGGTATAGATGTATCTGATTATTGCCTAAACCTAAACTGTGTCACTGTGAAGGGCTTATTGCTTTTCTACTTGTAATTTATACGGGTCAGGTGAAACCCGTATGTATAATGTCAGAAGCCACTGTGATGAGTCCATTACACTTTAGGTTTTACTGAACCACCAGAAAATCTCTTCACATCAAAGGATGTCACTGTAGGCACAGCACCTGTCCTGCCAGGGATCTACAAGCAGTCAAATCCTTGAGAAAGTCTGCCAGAGATACCATGAGCAAGAAAAGATTTAGGGAAACAGGAATAAACTCTTTCTAACTCGAGATTTAGGGAGAAAAAAGCCAGGCACTGATTAGCTAAAACACAGTGTAAGATTCAATTGAAAGTTTCTTCTCAGACAGAGAAGGAAACACTTAACTTCATTATCAATATTTTTCCATTCATTAGATTACACTTTCAAAGAATTTATACTAAATAATACGTAATTTCTAGAAAGATGTATTTGCTGTGACTATAAAGTCCAGCAGAACATAATTTTGCATTGGTGGAATCCCTAAAATTGTGTATTGATCATGGAACTACACTATTTGTCTAGGGGAAACAACCTCAGAGACCCAATAATTTTCCCGAAGGCCCTGATCCTGAAAGATACCCTATTTTTCAGCTCTCCCAAAAATCAAGTTAAGCTTTCAAGCACTGATGGGGAATCTCAATCATTCTCAACCTGAATGGTTCTTCCTCTCCTAGATCTCCTGGCATTTGGGTTGAGTGAGAAGTCTGATTGTTCTTTTCTGGGGTATTTTTGATAGCCAGTTATGGCATGTTCCAGCAGCACAGCATTTCAAAACCGGTAATGTCGACTTGCTCCCCTGCCTGCAACTTAACTGAAATTTCAGCTTATCCTGGCACATTATTCATTGCATGTACATGTGAGGGGAGTTGTAAGCTGAGATCCAAACCACCATCCTTAATCACTCTTTTTTTAAAAAAAAAAAAATCTGTACTAGCCTTAAGGATTTGAAGCACACTGTCCAACATTAGGCTATTGAAAGTGGGGAAAAATAACTGCCCCTGGTTATCAACAGTTTATTAGGGGCTTAACTGAAGTGACCTACTGTAGTAGCATTCTGCTGAGGGAAACTATGAGCTTTCTGAGGAAAGGAGTGGAATTGAGGGTTTCATTAAAAAGTAATTTGTGCTTTTTACTCACTCATTCAACAGGAGTCTCAACTGCTCTTTATTCACACAGAGTTAGTACAGTGTAACAATGCTGCTCAATGGATGGTACAAAGGAAAAATTTCACATTTTGAAAGGGGAAAAAAAATCCTTGCAATGGTAGTAGGATTGATGACTACTTAAAAGATTACAGAAATCTTTTTCCCTCTGTGATTATGTTTAATGATGGAATATTAAGGATTTTAAAAATCTACTCAGCTCAAACTAATAAATTTTGATTTATTACTTCACATGAAAAGATTCCTGGAAGTGAAATGGGATATGTTTAGCAGACAGGAAACAGAGCAAAACACACAGATACTATTCAGTTGTTCTACCTACTTTTCAGACTCAGGGACAAAAGATTAATTCTGAAAACACAATACAGTAAGATGAGCAAACTAGTCCTTAGCTTTAACCCATAGAAGCAATCCTTAGTGGTGTAAGTAACACCACTGATGACAGCACTCTCCACACTAATTACTTAGTTGAATAAAGGTGAGTCAAGTTTTTACATAATTTTTGCAGACATGATTTGTTGACAATCACCAAACACCTACTTTATTTCTCGCTATTACTATTCAAAGTTTAATTTAAAATTAATGACCTGTACATAAATACAAGTTACTAAAAATAGCTATAAACTACAACAGTAGATAATATAACCACCTCATCCTCATTTCAAAATACCCGGTTACTTTTGTTCAGAATATACAAGATTTCTGTCACATATGGAATGCGCAGCCATCTTACTAAATACATTGCTGTATAAATGCTTTTTCTTACTAACAAGGGAAGATACTAAGTGTTCTTCCCCATCTTCCTTTCTGTTATGCTAAATATAATGTCTGAAAATGTTTGCTAGCTCTATACATCTTTAATTGAATCAAATGTATTTCCAAAAAATTGTTCAACCAGCACAAATAACATGTTGATTTGGAAAAGTCAAAAACTGAACGAGGTCAGGGACTGAATTATCCCATTTGCCCCTGAATAACTTAATCTCTCTCTCTGTTCAGACAACATTGGATTATAAGGTCAAACCAGATGGAGGGATCTTTAGAAGTATTTCTACAACCTTACCAAAAATAGAATCTGTTATTTTGTGTGCCACAAACTGGATGATCAGTTTCAGCAATAAAATGTTTGCACAGTTACCTTCTCTAAAATACTGGTAGTCATGTTAATTATCAAAAAAACCTACTAAACATCAAGTAAGATGCTCTAAATCTATATCTGCTCGTTTAACAGAATATTTATTCTATTTTCCTTTCATTTTCTTCCCATTTTTTAAAATTTTCATTATTATTTTAAAGCAGAGATGGCTATTTTCTGACACAGATGCAGCTCATTTTGCTCCATTCAACTCATGCAATATGATGGTAATTGTACTTTGAGGAAATGTGGCACTTGGACACTTCTGGATAAATATGGTCAGTATGCCTGAAATACTTTTTCTTTATTTTGCAAAGCAACATATTAAATTAAACATTCAACTTATAACATAAAATAGAATTGAAAAAAAAAAAATCTCATTTTCCTTATCTTAAAAAGATGAGCAGTAGCTACAGAAAACTGCATTCAGTCGAAATGTCTGAAACCGACAGCAGTCTTGCTAAATATCTGACAGATCTCAAATGGTTCTTTTGGCAACAACTTTAAAGTAGTATCTAAGTCTGGAACACTTTATTTGTCTTGTCCCTTGGAATTTAATGTTGATAATTTTGTACAGCTTCATCTACTAAAACAGATTTCTTCTATGTAATTCTTATAGGATGTCTGATGGAGAAAAATATGTAACTCACCTTTATCAGAAATAACCCACACAGGACTCTGCTAGCATTAGAATGACTTGCTGCCTTACTTACAAAACTTTCATTTCTGTTTAGATTTTTTTCTTAATGAGCAGAAGGTGAAAGTACACAAGCAGAACATAACGTTTAGATGAACATTTGTTTTAAGCACTTTTTTCCCCAGTTCTAAAAACACCAGATCTTACTACGATATTCAGTGTCACAGAAACTAAATGAATCCTTGCCTGTAACATCAGCTGCCATCAATGCTTCTGCCCTGATAACCTTCACCTGAAGAAATCCCACATCGCTGATGTTATGGAACATCATCATTGGACTCTAAAATATAATAAAAAGAAAAATAATTCTAGATTGCAAAGGAGACAAATCAAAAGCAATATTAATACACTCCTCCCTAGTCCAGATGTAAGTTACTATAAATCTGTCTACATACTCAGACTTTTAAATATTATTTGCTGAAGAGCGTGCAGATGTTTGTATTTCTTCCTATATTTTGCAATTTTTAACCTATCAATGAAAATTACAAAGGAAAAGTTAGAATATTATTGATTAAATATAACACAAATTCTAGTGAATTAATCCCTAAGTACTGTGGAAATAACTTTCCTTCAAAATTTGAAATTCTAGCAGTATATTAAAAAATTAACACAAAAAATGAAAAAACTCGTCTCTCTGAATTATTTTGCAAGATCTATGTTCACGTTTTCCCTCTGATGGCTCCAATGTTATCTTGAGCAGTGACCTAGGGCCAATATAGATTTTTGTAGTTGACTATTACATGCAGGCTTGTATATACCAATACACCTATATAAGCTTGTGAATAACATCAGCAAAAGCAATAAAAAGAGGATAACAACTACTTAATGACTTTCATAATAATCACATGCAGAAAGGATAAAAAAAGAATTAAATATGTTTCAAATTTCATGGCAGAAAGCTCTTACCATAAATCATTATATTTTTAGCATAAATTTCTTCAACATATACATGCATTAAGAAGAGGAAGAAAAAAGAGTTCACTACACTAACGCTTGCATTTATTCACCCAACACAGATTTAGAAAGCTTATTAAAAACCATGTTCCACTGCTGCTCTTTTTTCAAGTAACTAAAACTAACAAACTGGGAGTATTGCACTAATTAGGTGTGACATGCTATAATTCTCAAACTCTAGCTTTTAGTATTATTTAAAATTTGCAGAGTTTTAAATAATAAAACATCTAATGCAACTTTGAATCTGGAATCAATTAATAACTAGTCTGGCTTTATTGTTCAGTTCTTAGATAACCTAGGGGAGGAACTCCAAAATAACTTAAAATTAAATTCGCAAATCTATATATGTGGTCACATTTTTGGTTGGTTTTTCAAATTTTATTCATAAATATTAGCCCATACCTTTATTTTGAAATATTTTTAAATCTGGACTAATGTATTTAATGCCTACAGTCTTCTCTAAAATTTTAATGTGATGAAAGTTTTTCCACTGCCTATGACAATGTCCAGATTTCTACAGAAAGCAAGCATCAGGAAAAAAACATCCAATCAACAATTCCTTAATTTATTACAGAAGAAAAATTTACTGTTATGAAAAATGAGAATAAATTGCATCACTGAATCTAAATATCACAGACGTTGCTTAAATGAAATATTAAATGTCAGCTTGCAAAAACAGTATGCTTTTCCACAGAAAATCTATCCATGAAGATGTTAGGCATATAATATGCATCCCTGTCTTTCTATTAATAAGACAATTCTAACAGTTAAATCACACTGATACTAATTTCACAAACCCCAGCTGACCATTTACTGTTTACAGTGAAGATTTGACCTTGCTACACTGAACTTAAAAATCTAAGTAAGTGTAGTAGCCCATATGTTGTTTACATGCATCATATTATAGTGGGATAACATTTTTACCAATTTTAATAAGAGGATCATCATAAATATGACTTCAAAATACTGATGGTCAATTTTAATAAGCACACACTCAACCCCTTGTTTATGTGCTTACAAGCTGAGGGTATCAGAGATGGTATTACTGATAGCACTGGTATAATTCAAAGGTGTCTTGGTACCCCCTCATTTATTGCAATGATGATCAGAGTTTGGGAGCTTCTTATCAGAATTGGTACCAGAACAGAGATAATTCTTCTGTAATAGCACGATAAAAATTATAGGACTTACAAAAATGTTTCCACATTCTACCCAAGTTTCCCAACAACCAAAACAAGCACCAAACTGTAGAAATAGAACAAAGCAAAAGCCAAGTACAAAGCAAGACAAGAGACGGCACCCGCTTCCTATGATGCCATATAGTCTCCTTTCTCCAAATTTCATCCTGGTTAGCCCACTCTTCAAAAGGGTGCCAGTGATGTATTTTGCTTTGCCACCTTTGTCAGAATCCCACAAAATTTTTGAACCTTTATTTCCCGAAAGTAGGTGGCTTAGGTTCATTTACTGCACATACTGACTGGGGAGATGATGAAAATGAATACAATGACACAACAGAGGCTCTTGGAGAAGCAAATTACTTTAACACATTACTATAAATACATAACTTTAAGTAATGATTTATCAGATGATATTCTGCCTTCTTATTTATGATTATTGTTGAAGGTACCAAAAATCCGCATAGTTTCTGAAGCCTCAAATTTCCATGGCAGGGGAATCTGTGATTTGCTGGGAATCTTTTCAGCCCTCAATAGATGGGAAAAGATTGAAATGCTCTGGAGATGAGTCTTCTTTATTTTTTTAATGAAAGGCTGTATAATATATTTTCTGTATGGCTGCAGCAGCTGTCAGGAAGAGCATCTCAGTTCAGCTCTATTATGGGAGAAGCAATACCCCATCCCATGGCATTGAGATACACTGAGGGGCTAGTACTGATTGACAGCTTGTCACCATGACGTCTTATTCCATCTCTGTTATGGAGAAAATTAATGTCACACCACCAGTCTTATGACTTGCTGTCATCTTAGAACTGCTCACCTTTTATCAGTGCTCTAAATAACATTTCAAGCCCATCGTCTCACAGTGGACAATCTGGTCAAGGGACATTAAATCGGATGACTGTGAAATGTCATAATAAAAATGGAATGCTAACAACTTCTCTAAACTAGCTCCTCTGGTTTTTAAACTGTGACAAGGGGGACCATGAGTTCAGCACACCAGTTCTGAAAAGGTCATACAATCTCTCTTGGTCTGTACCCATTAATGTGCCCCCCTCCTCACCCCAAAAGGAATTAATCTTTTCAGACAATTGTGGTAAAATAATGGTTCAAACAGTAATGCCTGTTTAATTTGTAAGGCTCTGATGTTCAGCTACAAATGGTTAAGTGACAGTAATAGAGTCATTTTCTAAGGCTATTTGATCTGATGGCAAAGTCAGCTCATTAACTGTTTTTGGCTGTAGAAAGGGTGCAAAATACATTTCTCAAATGAAAGCTAGATTTTTTTAAGAAGAAACAAACCCAAAAATACAGCCACTCAACAGGGAGCTCTGCATCTTGCTACTTGCATGTGTTGTCTTTGCATTAGTTCTGAAGTGCAGATATGAATACCAAAGTCAAAGTGATTATCAGTGAAAGCAAACTACTTGAATTAAAAGTTAATATTGGTAATTTCTTTCTTGTGCTGGTAATTTTAATAAAAACAGTGGAATTTATCAAAAAAGTATTTAAATGCCACAATTTAAAATTCATACCTCTGCAATATAAATGTCTTCTTAAAATGTAAATGTTTTGAAATGCATACACCCATGTAAATATACGAACAGACACATATCCTTGTGTTTCCAAGAAACAGGAATAAACCAGATCAATTTTATACCACATAATTATGCTTTACACTGGGGACAAAAAAATTGAGGATTTAGGAAAAATTATTAACAATACAGTCGTAACATGTTTCTATACTGCTACTGAAATAATCAAAACCATCAGTATCACTTGTCTGCCATATCATCACACAGAATAAGCCACAGAAATATGTTATTGTTGCTGCTGGTAGCAGGAACTATGGCACCTCAAAAACATATCCATCAAAAAAATTATTCTACTTATAGACACCTATTTTGACAACCACAGACTGCCTTGGTGGATTCCAAAATGTGCAGTAACACTCGTAATTGTAAATATTTTTCAGAGATGGTGGACAATACCTTAGCCTTCAGTTCGTTTTGGAATATTATATTTAGCCTCACTAAGTCACCTCTATTAAATTGTGTTTATGATAACACTATTGGTGTATGAGTTGTACAAGCATTAGCAGACAGCTGATTCAGTGGAGATAGACAGAATAAATTTGCTGAAGCACACATCCTGCTAATCTGTTTGAAGAATATTGTACAGTATTAGTACTAGGACTTCATGTTATCTGCACGGGCTGATAAGGTACATCTTTATTAAATTCAGTTATTGAAAGGATGTCCGTCATAGAATAGGAATATTTTTAAATCTTAAAAATAAATTAAGCAGCCTCTTTGATAGTCAGAGCCTGGTTTAATGGCTGAGTATCTAGAGAAGCCCTTCTAAACACCTGGCAGCATTGTACAATAAAAGCTTTGTAATTGCAAGTGGAAATAGCATTTTTTTCTTTCTTCCTTCATGTGTAGTGAGACAGTTACTTTTAGTGATTTAGGTATTAGCAAATGATGGAGTAAGAGCTCCCCTCTCTGTTGCTTTGATAAAACTACAAAGATTCTGTGTAATGTGAGGATGCTGGGAAATTAAAATAATCTGCTTCAGAATATTTTAAAATGGAAATATTGTTTGAAAAAATTATTTTTATGCACTTCAGCCTCTAATATGAACACAAAAAGAAGTTTTCTTGCCCTTTAACAGATGACACCCAAAAAAGCTGAAAATCATCTGCACCTCAAATTATTTTGCATAAACAATCACTAGAAACTGTCGAGTTGCTGAATGATCCCTTAGTCACTTTGTCATTGGTAAAAATTGTCTGCAAGGCAGTAAAATTACCCTCATTATGTGACACCTTATCAAATAGTTCAACTACCATGTGAAAAATAACCTTATTGTATGAAGAGCATTTGTAGCCTTCTTGATGTTACCTGTTCCGGCTGTAACTACTTGTGTATTAAAAACTAGTTTAAATGATTGTCATTGGCTAAGTATGATTAGAACAGAAGAGATATACTTAGATTTTCCCCTCATTATAGTTATTTTTTTTTTATAGGCCAGTGTTTTGCTAACAAAGGATGAAAGAAAACTTCATACATATCTCTTCAGTATCTCCTCTCGCTCCTTCTGGTCCTCCAGGGAGTTGATGGAGAGGTCAGAGATAGTGACTGCAGCTGAGGCTGTGAGAGTGACCAGCAACACCAGGTATCCCTCTCCCTCCTCTAGAGGCATCTCCAGCTTGTGGGTTTGTTCTTTACTCAGGGTCGAGAGGTCAACCTGGCACCTAGAAACACACATTCTCCATCAGCATGTGGTTTTTCTCACATCAAACAAGAGCACAATGGCTCGCTTGCATTCAAATGGACAAAAAACCCAAGTAAGCAGAAACTCCCACTCAGCTCCTGAAAATTCTTATTTTCTCTTCAGCTTTAACCCATGATGCTTGTTTCTTTTTTTTCAGAGCTATACAGTTTTGAAGTGAAAAACCAATATTAATAAGAATGTAAAGACTCTAGAGACAAGATTAGCTAATATTCTTTACTCAAATGCAGTCAAAGAAAATTTTAGAAAATCCAGTTCGGATGCAAATTTTGCTTTTAATTACACCTCTTGTATAGATATAAATCATAAGTTTTCATGCAAACAGTTTTCACCTAGCAACAGTAAAAACCCTTTTGTAAAAAATAAAATTCTACATGGACTTAATTGTGATGGCATAAAGATGACTGAGTACAGAAAAACTCAACTTATGCACCCCCTGAAAGGTTCAGCTCTCATGCAGTAAGCTGTATATGGGTCAAATCCTCATGCAGGCACCCAAGGTAAAATCTGATGCCACAACCCCCTATACAGAATGTCTCAGGCTGTAATGGGCAGGGTCTACACCTAACTGTGCAGAGTGTGTGCCGAGTGGCTGAAGCAAATCTGCCCTGCTTGATCCCCTTCCAAATACCTCTGGCTGTACCATACACTGAGCTAATGAAGAATGATTCCATACGTGCCAGACAGCAGAAACAGATTCGCAACTTCTTTAGAAATGTAAAACAAAGGATGGAAGGAAAATAAGTATCTCTGCTACCCAAGAGCTGACGATAACCTTTTAAATAAAACAGTATCTTACTGTTGATTAGTCTGCCCACAGCTTAGATGTTTTAATACTTTAAATTGTACAATGCACAAGTTTCAACTTTCCTAAATTGCAACTCTGAGCATAGTATAGAAATTCAATGTCTGTGTCAAATGTAACGCCAGCTTGCACTGGACAAGAATTTCTGTGAAAAAGAACTAATTGGAATACTTATAGTATCCCAAAATGAGTTTCGCCAACTTTATGCTCTAAATAAAAACACCAATAATACTGAAATAAAATAAATTTATATATTCTATGTATACATTAGTCAAAGTGTACTCCATTTTCAACAGAGATTATTTAATGTGACAAGCACATGGACTATATGCCACTAATTCACTAAACTAAATATCTAGCAAACTCTTTTCATAAAATGTCAATTGATTTTGAAGACAAAGATAATGTTGTCACTGCAGGGCCAATAAACTGAGAAAAAGGTGGCAGACATGAAAATATAGCCATTTAAGGAAAGGAAATAGCCAATTATAAGAATAAATGCAGCCTTGTAAAATGAGCATCGTGCTATCACAGGCAGATCAAATTTATTACAGGAAAACTGTCTTTTGTTTTTTTAAAGACATTTACTGCCTGTTATGCAGTTCACTTAACTACTGCAAAGCTCATATAGTAACAAAGTTCAACTATTTTACAATGAAAAAATTTCTAACTTATGCAGCACTCTGTGCTTAATGCTTTTCTTCTGCTTTGAACTCTTTGGATGATAAGGAGTGAGAAATTAAATTAGCAATAGTAAGAAAAAAAAAAGCTGTTGCTATCAGTGCAGGCTGATAATCAATACAAGCTTGGTACATGTACATAAATAAAGCTTGGTACATGTACATAAATACAATATAATAAAATAATAAATAAAAAGTCAAATTCTTATTTATGATGAAGCGAGGAATTTAAAGCCTTCCTTAAGACAACAAATATTGTAATCAAGCATTCAAAGCTGCAGTAGGTTAAAACATCTCTGATATTAAGTATTCTTCAAAATCTCTGATATTAAGTACTCTTCAAAAATTTATTTCAAAACAGATACCCCTCAAAAATAGGACTCAGCAACAATATTGAGTCTTCAACCAATAAACATTTAAAGAACCAGTCTAAACTTTCTTAAAATCAGTAAAAGAAACAGAAGACCATTACGATACTAGAAATGAAGAAATAATCCACTCCTCACTCAAAAACAGGCAACAAAAGCTATCCCACATATATCCATCAGAAAAAAAACCAATGAGTGTAAAATTACAATGTCTACATCAGGGCTACTAGATGCAATTTCTTCAATTCTTGAAGCTACAACACTTTAACAACATGGGTAGTTTAGTTTTTTTTATTTAGGCTAAAATAAGCAACTAAGAATTCGATTTTACCTGTGCACATTTCCTACAGCAATGAAATATTCCTAATAGCACCACATCTAGAACAGATCACCTGAGAAATATCTATCTATCACCCGCTTGATAAATCTTCATGAACAGGCTATCACCAGCTCATTATTTCCTAATATCATACAAATGTAGGAAGTGATCTGGAAAATTTTTTCCAGTAAAAACCTTAACCATTTTAAAGGAAAATTATTCTCTCAAGGTCCCTCAGAAAGTTTGATAAAAATATAGGGTTATTCCATTAAGGACTGTCACCTTTGTGCTTTACAGATGTCCATGTTAAGAGCATCTTTATGCACACATGGTCAGGTGAAAGCAAATTTCTCACCCCATGCCAGGTGCTCTGCCCTGGCCTTGCAGGAGATGCAGTTTACATGTGCTTAACTTGAAAGTGAGGAGGCTCTGCGTTTGATCTTCATGCCAAATTATCCTAAAAAAAACAATGACAAAAAATTTTATCATTTTTTGTTCATTCTCCTCTGACCTCACCAGATCTTTGTATGGGACCAAAAAAAGTGAAGGATATGGTTATTATAGATAAATGCTGACCTTTTCACAGAATAATCTTGACAGACTCCAATAGGAAAACCACAAAACTCCCTTTTATACTACATTTCCTTAGTAGGACTGAAACTAGCAAAATACTTCCAAAAATAAGCGTCTCTTTGGAAAATACCTGTTTTCCAAATGTAAATATCTTTAGAAAGCTCAAGATGACAATGTCCCTTAATATTTTACTGGAATTATATTCAAGTATTCCAAGCTTTAAATCTTTGGCAATGCTGAATTTTGTATCAGTTAAGAAGTTCTCTAAAGAGACATTTGTTTCCTACAATGCCTGTCTCCATGAAGGACAAAAAATGCCTTGAGGATGAAGGTGAACTTGTATGTTACGAGAAAGTGGTGCAGAATGAATGAGAAATTTTTGTCCTGTTTTCTCAAATTAAGGACCATGAAAAATTTCAGACATTTTGAGAAGGCCATAAGCTGCATATGACCAGCAGCTGTCACTTTGAAAACATGAGAAAATACTAACTTTGTACAATCCTGTTTCTTAAGGAATTATTATTTACATGCTACTGGTAGAGGAAAAGACTTTTTCCACCTGTGATGAGATCAGCCTGACGAATTATTGACAAAAAATTGCCGTTAACTCAACAGACTAACATGCTTTCCAAGCATGACTATAAATCATATTGCAAGTAACTGTAGTTTTTAGGGCAGTTTGAGTTTTTCTGTATCTTCCATGCTGTATGGCCCCTTCAGTGCACATTGGTTTCAGCACTTCAAGTGGTGGGCAGGAGCACTGGAACAATTTTGCTGGCTGTCTGGCCTTTCAGAAAGAGACATAGGGGTATGTATCCCACCTGTCAGTTCTGCATGTGAACACTACAGGCACCATGTGTAGCTGGATTTTCAGGTCTTATGAGATCAGAAGGGAGAAAAACCACAAAAGTGCATCAAGCTCATGTGCTGAAGTTATCACAGATGAATTGCTCAAAAACAGGGTACAGCTCCCACGGAGGAAGATTTGAAGGTTCAAGGAGAATCAACCACTTGTCTGAAACTGTGTTCAGCGTGTTAATCACACAAAATTTTAGAAATATATTTCAGATTTATTTTTAATTTGAATATATCTGGCCTTTGGTTCTTTTTATGCCTTTCCTTGCTAGTTGAAAAACCCTTTAGTGTTTCATGTTTTCTTCTAGTGAAGGAACTCATACACTATAATCATATCTCTTCTTGATCTTCCTTTTGATATGCTAAACACTTTCAGCTCCCTATACATTTCCTAGGAACATATCTCCTACAGCCCTCAAATGACTTTTTGTAACTTTTCTGATCCAGTGAAATTCTCCTGCATCCTTTTTAAAGTGTGGAAGGCAGAACTATATGTAGTATTTTATTATCAGCATGTCTAACAGGTAAAAATCACCTCCCCTCTTTAGTTCTAACAGAACCTGGAATGTAAGACTGTGTTGGCACCCTGGTGAAATATTCTTGCTAATGAATGAATTACAAAGGTAGCGACATGACATAGAAGGCCTCTTAAAAGCCAGGTGGCCAGGGAAGTGAGAGACAGCAGATAGTGAGATCGTTTTCTCACATGACAAAATAAAGCATAAAAGAGGAACTGGCACAATCCTAAGTGATAGGGACAGAAAAGCACCACTTGGCTACAAACCAGGCAACTTAATTACCATCATGACTTGTTCAGGAACACAGATTTTTAACTCCACTGTGATCCAGGTCTATGCTGCTCCAAAGGACGCCAAGGAGAGGAAACTGTGTGATTCCACAATTAGAACTGAGCTGGACACACATCAGAAGCAGCAAGGCATGAACTGCTACAATTTGTGAGACTCCACATCCTTTATGAGCAGAGTAAAATGTTCCAGTAAAACCAAGAAACAAAAGGAGAGGGAAAATTTTGCAAAGCACTAGCAGAAAATGACACATCTCAGAAACACTGAGTGTTGACTGCACTAATGTGAATTTCTTGGAAGAATCGGAGCGTGACATTTTTAACTGTAAAGATAATGAGAAAGAAATTAAATTATGGACTCCACATGATGCTTGTGTTAAGTGGTTGATAGAGGTGTTTGAAAGGTGATTGAAAACCAGGGAAGCTCCCAAAGGGGTATGAGACAGTATCTCAGCTAAGTAGGACATTGACTAAGGACAAGAGAGGTGCTTATCTGGGGAGGCTGGAGAGGATCCCTGGGCAGCTGGGAGAGAAGACCTCAGCAGGACCTGAAGAAC